CAAACAAACAAACAAACAATTTATTCTGGTAAAAGATTTTCCCATGTACGATAAGAAAATTATCAATCAATCCAATAATTTATATTTCTATTAATTCCACTAGTACATTTGTAAATGATAAAAGTTTGTTGCATATATGTTATTGTGTTTTTACACCACCAGGTAACGATATGCGACCCCCAATTCTTAAATTAGTTTTTTCACTGTAAAAAGAAAAGCTTTTCAACGCACCCATTCCTCGTGATGGGTTACTATTCTTTGTCCAACTACTCACTATAAGTTGTGTGTAAAGGTTACTAGGCAGTCGTAACTGAACAGGAGTAACTAACTCTTTAAAAGCAACCGTTATGCTAACCATCTTTGTAGAAATTTATTACGAAATTTTTTAATGTTGTTCTGTAATGTAATGAATTTTTTGAAGAAGCAAAAACAGAAATTGATGAGGGGGAGGAGGTGTTGCGTCAGCGAGGTCACGTGGCTAGTATCACGCCACGTCCTTCTCGAACCTTCGTGAATTAGCGGGAGACTACTAGATTGGGGGTAGTCTGGTATATATAAGATGGTCACAACGTGACGGAACGAGGTAATGAGTAATTGAACTGCAGTCAGGGAGTATTGTTGAAGTCGAGCACGTGAGACGTTCGTTGTTATAGCGTTTGTTATAGCGCGACTGTTGAAATTAAGTGTATCGCAAAGTTATATTCAGAAAGAATAAACCAGTTTTATTTAAGAAAGGACTTGTGTCGCTAAAGTTTCGTCGGAAAGAATTTACGGAAAATTAATTAACAAACGGAGACGTAACAGAGGATTGAAAAACAAATGGAATGGAATCACTGGACGTATATACACTTGAAACAGATAAGCCAACAAAGATAATCAGTAACCTATTGTATCGCTTCGTATTTAACTACAAACCAAATAAGAAGAATCAGTAAAGCGAAAGGAAAACCGATCATCAGATTGAAATGAAGTTATAAAAAAAAATGTGTTTCTCTTTATCAAATTGAATCAACGTGATTAGACTCACGAACTAATTGCTGTTTCTTACATGAAAACTTCCAAGCAACATATTTTACTAGACTAACACTCGAACCTCAATCAACAAATACCATCATTTTGAATGGATTTTTTAATTGTAATATTTTTCAGATTACCAATCTGTATATTTGACGCTTAGACGCGATGTCTCACGAGTAAATAGAATCTTTATGGCCAACCGAATGAAGAACTTACACCCAATAAAAATAACGCAAGGTTTAGGGGGTTGTGTGTTTAGCGTACAATGGCCTACCTATACCCTGTCAAGCACGGGAACCTAACTCCGGATTTAGCGAACCCACCGGGGGTTTGTTTGTTTGAAATTAAGCACAAAGCTACACGATGGGCTATCTGTTCTCTGCTCACCACGGGTATCGAAACCCGGTTTCTAGAGTTGTAAGTCCGCAGATATACCGCTGTGCCACTGGGGGGCTCTCACCGGGGGACTACATTAGCAGCCTCTTTAAAACAATATGTGTGTGTTTGACGTCCTCTTTCTGGGCCTATTCATGACTGCTCAGGGTTAAGTCGTGACATTTAAATGGTTACTTGTAGACTGATGGCGTTGTAACCAATAAAAGTAGCTACGTATCCTGGGGACCCCCCCCCCCATCCTCACTGCGCCTCTCATATTTTTCTATTTGACAAAACTATACAGTATATTCTCAGATGGTGGTGATAAGTTTTAAACTTATTAAACTTCCACTGAAAGGCAGTTTTACAGTGATCTCTCTCTCTGTTTTTTTTATTTCTTGTAAAATTCATATTAATACGCCCTCTGAAATCTCTATTTGATCACACACCTAAAGCTCTTCTTTGATCCAATCAGATTTAACCATCTGAGTTGGAACCCCCTCCCCCATCAAATAATTCTGGATATGCCACTGAATATACATCGGCGACTAATGGAAACTAACATCACATTCTAGGAACAAGATAATCATTACCCAACATCACGTGGTATCAGCCATCTTGAAGTGGCTTATTCTGGAAGAAACATATACTATATATTTCGAAATATTTCTTCTTAAGGTGGTATGCCCCCCCCCAAAAAAAACAAACAAACTAAACCACTTCATTATACTTCTAAATCAATTCAGAACTATTAACCATCACGTGGTATTACCCAGCATCCTATCACGTGGTACTACCCAGAACCCTGTCACGTGATATTAACCACCATCCTATCACGTGGGAAGTATGAACCTGTCTGTAAAACATGACAACGGAATTACTGTTGTCAAAAGTAATGAACAAGCGTTTGATGGACCAATAGTTTTGTTTTTTTATAGGCTACTGTCTATAATTGTATACTACGACGCCACTTCCGGTGGAAATAGATGTCTATAGAACGTGTTTACAATTGGAGCTTACCTCTGTATACCAAATATCTCGAACCCTATATATATATATAGCTACAATACGAAGGATATATGTGGTCAAGATGACTAAAGACGTAGCCATTATTAAAGGCTATCTCCAGAAGATTGTACAGTGTGGTCCACCCAACCCCGTTATCAGTAAAACCACGTTACTACTTCATTTCCGCTTGAACCGTATAAGGTTTACAAGTTTATAATATCCGCTATTCTGTCTTACAAATATAGTAAAGTAATACACTTGGACAGACGCAATGACGATGATTGTTTGTTTGTTT